GCCTCCGCTGCCTTGGTCCAGAAGACCAAGCATTCAGGGCACCCGGGCTACAGCTTTTTCTACGTTGAGGCCTGTTTATAACACTGGCAGAGAAGTCGTCGAGGTCCCTGGGTGCACCTCCACACTCACCGTCTAGAAAGCCCGGCTTGGCTGGGCCAAGCTTGCCAGCCCCCGAGCACCATACCTTTACCTGGAGCCACCTTGGGTCCTCACTAGGCTTTCACTCCTCTGCTTACCTAGCTCCCACACCTTATCCGCTCCACCCCAGGGCATTTCTCCTTATCGCCAGCAGTCCTCAGCCCTCCAGAGATGAGGGGCTTGGAGATTTTTCACCCCCAGACCTCCTGTGCAGGGCATCCTAGTTAACCCGCCTCTGCCGTGTGAGAGCCCAGAACATGGTTGGTGATTATTCAACCACAGCCCGCAGTTACAACTCAGCCCTTAACCGTGAGAACAAATTCTATTGCTGCTGTTTCTGGACTTCTGGTGACAACAATCTGCTTTTTACTTAAAAAGAGTCTTGAACAAACATATCCGAATATCTTGGGGAAGAGAACATGGGTTGTCAAATAAGATTTATCTTTGACCCTGCTTTTTAGGTAGCCACCTTAGAATGTGAGCCTTCTAAAAGCCTCTCTAAGAAAAAGAATACTCGGCCTGTGTTGTTGTTTGGACTTTGCCCTAATGGTTACAGGTTTTCTGGCATTTAGCATTTTAAGAAGCCTAACTTGATTATTATTCCATGCTGCATGCGTGCTTAGTTTTAAGTTCTATGCTTTTCTGCTTGGAATCTGGTCAGCTGTGGGATCTCACATGCCTTCAGATCAGCTATTAAAAGAAATACACCTGAGTGAATACAAAGTGAATTGGCCTGTGGGCCTAAGTGATTTATTCCAAATTATTTCCCCTTCTTTTTACTTTAGTTATGATGGAACTGAGAAACATTTGGCTTATTAAGAATAAAGGAATTACCACAGGGCCAACCAACAGTCCTTCCAAGCAAGTGTTTTGACTGTGACTGGAGCATTTTGGGGGGAAAGACTGGTAATTGCCCTTAAAGATGTGAATATCTTGAAATTATTCCCATTAAACCTTTGTGGTCCTTCCATTTGTGTATTTTATGAATGAGACATTCTTTTCTTTTTAATCCTCACCCAAGGATATTCCCACTGATTTGAGGGAGAAAAAGGGAGAGGAGAGAGAGAGAGAGAGAGACAGAGAGATCAGCCACCTCTCACAGAAGCCCTGACAGGGGATTGAACCCACTACCTTTTGGACTATGGGGACCTTGGCACTCCAACCAACTGAGCCACCTGGCCAGGACTGAACCAGATTTTCTGGAACTCATTTTTATTTAGAATTTGTCAAGTAAGCATAGGACATTGCAATGAGGACAGATTGCAAGACAGTATGTATATTGGTAAATGTAGACACAGACTTGGGAGAATGATGAATAAATCTGTAAGTGCCAAGAAGTAGGGCTCTGTCCCTATTCACTTCACTAATAAAATGTTTCATATACAGAAAGTGCTATAAGAAACACTGAGTTAATAAAGGTAATTTTTGCCTTCTTAATATATGTGTATGTATATTTGTTAACTTTCGTTTGATTACTGGGTTTATTTTCTTATTTTATGTCTGAGTTTATCAGGATATTTTGTTTGAAGTCACCAAAAGTAAAATGAAGTGGCTTAGGCAAAAAGAGAAAGTTACTGTGTAACTCAAGCTGCAAAAGGGAAAGTCTATGATTGGCCTTAGGAATAAACTGAACTAGTAAGTGGAATGCTTCAAATTCCGGGTTAGACTTTCAACCTGGCCTCTCCCAGCAGGGTCATTCTTTCAGAACCTCTGAAAGTCATGTTCTGTAGGCTTAGAACCATGACCTCTGACAAATCGTGGGCTCACAACTACCAAGTTGTTACCAGACAGAAAGTGCCTCTCTTCCCTCAGTTCCAGTTTCTGTACCACCAGATAAAGAGCATGATTGGGTAAGACTGAATAACAACCATTCTTGGAGAAAGAGTATGTGTGTGACATAAGAGCTATGATAAATTTGTGTTGTATTAAGCCATCAAGTTTGTGGTAATTCTTTTTACAGCAGCCACAGAAAACCAATATAGAGACATTATTAAGAAGAATGGTTAATACTTGAATAAGAGAGAGATAGAAGATAATTCCAAGGCTGTATTCCTTAAATACAGGTGTTCCATGGTGAAAATTTTTTTTTCTGTCCAGCACTTTTCTCTTCTTCTGAAAAAGCATCTCCCACTATACTCTGTTTCAGAGTTGAGTTCCTTCATGGAGGCTCTAAGGGAGAATCCTTTTTCTTGACTGTTCCACATTCTAGAGGCCACCCACTTTCCTTGGTTCATTGTCCCCTTCAATCCTCAAAGCCAGTAATTAAGTTAACAGTGACACAGACAATTCTGCCTACCTCTTCCACATGTAAGGACCCTTGGGATTACATTGGGCCCATTCAGATAATCCAAAATAATCTCCCTATTTTAAGGTCGGCTATTAGAAACCTTAATTCCATCTGTAATTTTATTTCCCCTTTGCTATGTAACATAGAATTTCCACAGGTTCTGGGTACTAGCACATGTGCATTGAGGGGGAGATGGCATTATTATCCCTACCACAGTCTTTCTTTTTATAAAAACAATTGAGTGTAAGTCATTGGCCCCAAACTGGAACACTTGTAAAAAAATACTAATGAGTGGATACCACCCCTATATATTATTTAATTGGCCTGGTGGCCATTGGCCCTCTAAACACACACACACACACACACACACACACACACACACACACTCTTGATTAGATCAGGATAGAGCATCTCACCCATGTTTGGGCCAATCAGAGAATTTCCCTAGGGATTTAGAATGGGAAGTGAGAATTAGCAACCGGGTGTCCGGAGCTATAATATCAATTTAGGAGCTTATGGCATCAGGAGAAGTAAGAAAAAAACAAGTCGGGGAGCAATGGAAGAGACAGAGAAAAGGTGTAGACAGAGTGGAGCTGAGCTTAGATCCTCAATGGTTATCTGCCTCCTAGGTAGCATTCTTAATTTAGGCTTCTATGAGGTACTACTACATTATTTAAAAATCTCCTATTTTACTGAAGCCAGCTCAAATTGTTTTCTCTTGCATAAACCCCAAAATGTTATAATTAATATATAATGTGAGTTTACAATATGCCTCTTGAGAAATAAGGAAAGTTTAAGAACCAAACTGTCAGACTTGGTATTCCAAGTATGCCTACTTCATTAGCACCCACTCTCCTGGTATCCCATATTCTTCCACTCATCCTTCCTCTTAATAGTTACTCAAAGGCCCAGAAGGAGCCTCACAAATGATCTCAGCCTAAGCCTCATTTAATAGTCCACTCTCCCTAATACACACAAGTTGACGGTAGATCCAGTTCTCTGCTCTCTGCTTGACTGATGTCAAGTAAATATTAATGACCTGCAAATCAATTCTCTAGCCCTTACCCTTCTTATCTTCAGATCTATAGTTACAGGTGACTAATGGATCATTCCTCCTCAATTTATAAGAAACCAAACTCAATTTTTCTTCCAAACTCTGCCTGT